AAAAAAAAAAAAAAAAAGCAGAACCCATTTCCCAGGGCACTTTCCAGAATTCCCTCATATTTGGAGGATTGAGTCTGTGGCTTGAGGAAAGCACAAGGAAAGGAAAAAAGATCTGGCGGAAAGCTCAGGTGGCAGCAGACTCTGACTCCACTGAGGAACTGCCTCAGAAGCTGTGATCACAACTTCACTGAAGCCCCTGCCTCCCTCTAGGGCACCTGACCTGGCTTCCTGCCTAAGCCACAAGGCTAAGGGCTATAGACAATGGTTTCCTTAGGAACAGTGAACCAGTTTTTCTAGAGATTGCCCTTGGCTGGGGGATGACAGTGTGGGATCTATGGATCAGTACACACACAGTGTGGAGCAGTGTATCTACTGAGGAAGACACCATTCCCTGATGCTAGCCAAGGAAGAATAAGAGCCTTGGTGTCTAAGAAGCTGGGTGGATGTGTATGGTGGCTCCAGTGGGTGTTTCTACTGTGCCAGCAAGAGGCAGCCCCCCAGAATATCTTCAGGCATAATGGAAAATCAGCTCAACTGAGATCAGGCCCCCCAGGGTCCACCCACGGAGCACTACAGAGCCTCTGAAATACTACAGCACCAGGCGAACCCCTTAAGATTCCCCCACTGTCCATCAGAAGATGTTCCAGAGTGGCTAGAGGGCATCCAAGGGCTCCAGCATGGCATATCCATGCCCACCGTGTTCTGTCCATGATCTGAGTGATAGCTGCACTGCTGCCTGGGATTGCAGCTGAGGTGGGAGAGTGGAGAATGGTTCCCAGGAAGACAGTTCCACCTCTAAGGTCTGAAAATGTTCCTTTTCCCCTGGAGTGGGAGTGGGAGGTCATATACCAAAGATTTTTTCCCTCACCAGTCTCAGCATGACCGACTACTGAAAAACTCCAGCACACCTCCTCGAACCCCAGTGTCAGCAGAGAGGGCCCATATGTTGTCTGTAACATGCTTTTCACATGTCCACTTTCTTGCCTATGTTCCAGCTGCTCTCCCAACCTGGAAGGCCTTCTCCCCTTAGCCAAGTCCTACTCAGGCTTGGAGAACTTGCTCAGCATCACCTCCTTCATTGAGCCTGCTCTGATCACTCCATCCCTCTCCTACCCCACCCTCTCCCAACCCTCAAGGTGTAAATTGCTTACTGATGCTTAGCATTCACAATTTTTGATGGATCATTATTTGTGTCTGTGTGTCCGATCTCACACTGTAAACTCTTTGGTGGGTGGGGCTATATCCTAGACCTCTCTGTTTTCCCCAGACTATCTGTACAAGTGGCACACAATAGGTGATCAATAAACACTTGTTGATTGAGTAACTGTCTTATTGATTAAAAGGGGCTCAGAACGGGCAAGTGAAACTGGAGGGATTTTGGCTAAGGGGAGGGGAGGGTGGAAACTGGCATTTCTTTCCACAGGGTAGATAAATAATTCTAGACTTTTCTAGAAGTAATTAGAAAGCATAACCTCCTCCCCAAGGCAACTCCAACCTCTTAAACTTGCCCAGGGCTCTTTCCTTTTCATAACAATTGTTTTCAGTTATTTGCTAAACGATGATGTATTTATTCCTTTCATACTCTGAACTACTGCCATGAGGAAGATGAAATGGATCTGATCATCTGCATTTGGCAGATAGGGAAACTAAGGCCCACACAAGTAAATAGATTTTCCCAGGGCCAAACAGATGATGTTAGTTCCCTCAGTCTCCTGACTCCCAAACTAGGACCCTGCTGATCCCACACTATTCACAGCCAATATAAGAGCCTTGCAGATGTCCCCAAGCTGCCTGAGGAAATAATTCACAGCGAGCCAGGTAACAAGGAGAGCACACAGGCTCTTCTGGTCACCCATGAGGGCAATCTGGGAAATCACCAAGTGTACTACCTAAAACTGCCCCCTCTTGCCATGCTGGCCAGCCTGGGCCCAGCTAGCTGTCCCACCAGGGGGATGCGAGGCTTACACTGAGTAAAACACAATACCTCAGTTCCAATTCCCCTAACTCTGAAGGTGTGGCAGTTTGGGAGGCAAATGATTTGTCCCTGTTCTACCCTCACTAGGAATTAACAAAGCCCCATTCATAAGGGTGTACACTGTGGCAACACTGACAATAATGGGGCCCTACCTGATTCAGCTTAGCTATCCCCTGGATCTAGAGGGCTTCAGCACATAGCCTGTTGTATCAGACACTACCCTTGCACCTCTGAAGTGAGCATTCTTTGGTGCAGAGGCTAGAATGTCAGCATCCAAGTCCATTTAGAGGGAATGGCAGCAGGCAGGAATAAGGGGAGAGAGGGCTCTCTAGACAAAAGCTTAACAAGTCATGTCTCTGGTCTGGCACCAAGAACCCCAGAGCCCTTGATTGGGGGCTAGCCACTGGAGGTTGGAAGACAGAGCCACCTTGCTGGCTCTGCTATGCTGAGTGGGCAGCAGTCTGGTATGGGCTCTGATGACCCGCCATCTGGCTGCGAAAGCATTTGCAGATCCACTGATTTCACTGCATTCTCCCATATCCCAGTGAAACCAGTCTTTTACAAGAAACAAAATGGAGGCCCAGAGATGTGAGTAAAATCACTCAAGTCACAGCGTCAGAGTCTGAACGTTAAGTTTAGAAACTTTGCACAGCAACGTGGGCCCAGGATTCTGATCTCAGAAGGTGTATGAGGACATGCTGCTCTTCAAACTCCTGTAGGCTTCGTGTTCCTGTCTGCCACTGGAATATAAGGACCTTTGTTGGACACAGAGCAAAGAGTTTCCCTTTATCTTAGAAGAAGGCTGGCCTGGGTGGGGGAGGGTCCTCCTACCTTTGTTAATCTGGGAAGTTTCAGTGGAAGGAGTTAGAAGTTCATCCTCAACTAGAAAAGCCAGGGAAGACCTAACAAACAGCAAATGTTCCCTCCAGCTGATTGAACAAGAAAGGCTTTGCTCTAGTTTCCTAGAAATATTCCTGACTCCTGGGTCCAGGGCAAACACTTTTCAGCTAACCCCATTGCCTTCCCCCATAAAGTAATTTAGCCACAGGCCTAGGGGATAGTGAAGGCCACCGTGTTTATGCTCCAGCCTCATGGCTCTGACCCTTGCACAAGGAGAGATGTTTCTGCCCTCTCTTTTTCCTCTGATAATAACGTGACTCATATTTTCTCACCCCTTGGAGCCCTAGTGACCCACTGCTATGTGATCATTAGTGGGGGAAGAAGGACTGAAACTGGCTTCTTAGTGGAAAGGCAAGCTCCAACTTTCAGGGAGACCTTTGTGCAGCCATGCAAACAGCCATCTGTCGGCCAGCCCACACTCACTGGACTCTTACTCTGTCAGGAAATGTGCAAAGGGTTTTGAGGGTGATGAGAGTAAACAAGATAAAGTTTGTGCCCTGTAGAAGCTTACAGCTCATCTAGAGGAGATAAGACATGCATACCTAACTGTGGTACAAGGCAAGCATATGGGCTGTCCTGTGAAAGGCAGAACAAAAGTGACACAAGATAGGGTTGTCAAGGGCTAAGAAAATAGTCTTATAAGTCTCCTTAAATTCCAGGCTATATGAAATGAGGGCCTGGCACTACATGAGCTTGTAGGGAACAGATGATTGAAATTGCTTCTTTCAACGGAAGGACTCTGGGAAATTGAAGACTCGGGTGGAGAGGCAGTGCTAAGAAGGTAGCAGGGACATGTGTGCAGCTAATCCAGAATCCTTCTGAGTTTGCCTCACAGGACACTTATGTGGCTCTAAAAGAAGGAGTGACTCTGGGGCTCAGGCTTTCCTCCCTCAACTCCTTCCCTTGCACAAGACTCTGGAACTTGCTGGGGGCGGCAGAGGCAGTGCCCATTCAGGTAGCAAAGGGCCTTCTGGCTCTGGACCAGAGAAGAAAGGCAAGTGTGGGAGAAGGGAGACTGCAAGAGTAGAGCCTAGTGCTAAAGGAAGGTGATGAGGCCTTGCAAGGCCAACCGTTCCCTCCTATTCAGCCCTGGGGCCATGGACAGGGAATTCTTTTGTGCCTGCAGCAGCCCACTCTGGGACACAGAGGCCCAGGCCGGGAAGTGTATGTGCTTCTCCTCAGCTGGCTGAAGCCTGGCCTTCACCCAGACTGGTCTCCCTGCCCAAGCGGCTCCCAGCTTTGATGAGAAATTCTGTTATCTCAAGAGGGAAAAGAACCTCAAACAGGAAGTCTAGCAGGTTATCTCTCTCTTCTGCCCTAAGTGGTGGCTCACTATATGCTGCGATGTAATCACTGATAAAATATTAACAGGCTGTCATCAGGCACAGTGATGCAGGGGCTATAATCTGACCACTTCCTCCCACCCACAGCCCACCACTTTCCTGGGAATTGCAGCTCAGGAATTTCTCATTAACTGTCACCTAAAATTCCCTGCTCTGGGCTTCCTCACCCTTGAAGACAAGCAGGAATGTCTTAGGGCTAGATAAAGCAGGAAGACACCATGCAAGGAAGCATCATCCTCAGATCCATTTTAGGAGAGAGCTGCTGCTTTCCTGTCCTCCCTGAAGTCCCATTCCTCCAGAATGACGACCTCACTGCTTCACAGGTCACTTCCTTGGGGGCTTTGAAGAACTTTCTGTTTCAAAATTCTCATGACCTTGTGGAGATAACACTAAAAACGCTCACATGCTTTAAAAAAGATACTATGGGGGTTAATGGCATGTGAAATGAGATGCCAAATGAGTACGAGCAGTGTGGTGGACAAGCCAGCATTTGAGTGGTGGCTCCTACTCTCCACCAGTGCTTTCAGAGTCTGTGATATTCGACCAAGGGCTGCTCAGAAGAAAGGCCAGTTAAACAAGAACTACAAAGAGAAGATGCTCTTTGCAGCCTCTTCACCTATATTTATGTCTGGAATTGCCCAATGGAACACAAGAGGATGGATCCCCCCACAAAGAGATATCTGATGATACTGTGAAGACCCGACTCCCTTGGCTTAAAGGCACTGAACACCTTGGTTAAAAG